ACACACACACACACACACACACACACACACACACACACACACACACAACTTTTCAGGAAACCAATCCCAGGTTATAAGATGGTTTTAGATTCATTAATGCTTGTAGAATAGATAATATTTTGTGAAAATAAAAAATTCTCTACTTCCCAAGACTCAGCCCTTCTTCTTTCAAGAACAGTTTGTGGCCTAGCCATATAATATAATAAAACATTTTAACAATTTAGTGCCTAAAATTGTGTGGTATTAATGAAGAAAACAGCTCAATAGAAAAGAATATGTAATCCAGAAATAGGCTATGGAATATTGGGAAGTTGGTAAGCATAGGCACACAGATTTTAAAAAAACAACCAAACAAAAAATAACAGGAAAAGAATATTGAGAAGGCAGCAAGAAAAGAAACAAGGGTGAACAAGACCAGATACTGCCCTCAAAAGCTTATAGTTAAGTGGAAAGAACACTGAACCAAGAGTCGGGAGACCTGAGTTCTAGCACCTACTCTGCCACAACTCAATGTGTGACCTTGACCAAGTCATGTCTCATTCTGGGCAGGCCTATTTCCACCTGTCAAACAGAATTACTGTACTGGATTTGATTACTTATAATGGCCCTTCCAACTGTAACATTTAATGATCTGTATTTTTAAAGCCCTATAAGTCCACTGAGTCAATCATAACCCTGCTCCTATATAGACTCCATTCCAATGGATCAATATTATTAATTCAAGCCTTTTATTCTTTGGCTCCACAAAGAATGCTTTCTTCTATAGTATGCATTGCTAGAAAACAGCTGCATGCATATTTGCATTTTGGGACGACGGCCTACCTTTCAAGCCATGTTTCAGACAGTGTTCCATCACCACAAAGAATTGCTGGAGAGGTGCATAGTCAGAGTCAAGAGTCCTCCCCAGGTTCAGAGCTGATTCAATCAAGCCCTTGATACTCAGCTTGGCCATGTTCATGAGGTTCATGCGTTCGTTAGCCATGAGATAATTAGGATCTGCAGTCAAAGGGGAAGAAGATGAAGCCTGGTTACTAGAAATAGCACATTTTAAAATTCAGTATTAGTTGTATTCTTCTCCACCATGTACTCACTGTGAAAAAAATGCTAGTTTCCTTTAAGAATAGCCTCAATGAAGCGGTAAAATGAACTATTTTATCAAATCTCAAGCCTTTAGTTGTCTTTTCTTTCTTTTTTTTCTTTGAGACAGAGTCCTGCTCTGTCACCCAAACTGTAATACAGTGGCATGATCATAGCTTACTGTAGCCTCAACCTTCTGGGCTCAAGTAACCCTTCTGTCTCTGCCTCCCAAGTAGCTGGAACCATAGGCGCACACCACCACACCTGGCTAATTTTTGTATTTTCTGTTGAGACAGGGTCTCACTTTGTTGCCCAGGTTGGTCTTGAACTCTTGAGCTGAAGCGATATTCCCACCTCAACTTCTCAAACTGTTGGGATAATAGGTGTGAGCCACCGTGCCTGGCTGAGTAGTCTTTTAATATTCTCACCACGGCCTCTGCTATCACCCTAACCTGAGGGTGTCATAACTCCCTACTGTACTACCTTCACACTGCTCTCTCTGCTTCCATTCTTGCCTACCCCTCTCTTCTCTGCATAATTTGTGACGTGCTCTAAAAATAAAGTCCCAATGGAGGAAGAAAAGGGTAAAGGGCTTAAACAAACTTTGCATTACGCTATTTTATTATTCTTTAAACTATGCACTAGCATTATTAGTATAATGCAGTACTAGAACTTAATCAACTCCCACATTTTTATGTCTTAGCACACAGTGTGTATGGCTCTCATCAACCAGACAGACAAACTATTTGGGGAAAGGGGCTAAGTGACACATTTTATTGTACTCATTACCTTCATTTATTGGCGCTTACACTGTGCCAGCACTGTGGGCTGCCTCTTACAATTATGATCTCCATCTCTCCTTACTACATGCTGTGAGACAGTCACCAATACAACGATTTTACAGGGAAGGAAAATGAGACTTAGAGAGTAAAGCTTCAACTGCTCTGCCCTGACTCACTGTATGACCTCGGGCAAGTCACCATCCCATTTTAGGTCACTCAAATAGTTGCAGCTGGCCCATGGGCACAGCCAGTAATCAATGACAGAGCCAGAGGCCAGACTCCTCCTGACCATTCTTTTATAGGATTATTTTACCTACTTATTCTCTCATCATATTTAGGTATTCTCCCTTCTTTCCGGTGCTAAAAAAGGCCCATAAGAGCTAGGCGGACCAAGGTGTAACAGTTTATAAGTGGCAGAATCTGGACCTGGATCTGACATGAAAGCTAACGCTCTCTTTACCTTATGCCATGTGTATCCTCCCAAATACCAAATATACCAAATTTGTACTGAAAACTAAAGAAGGCCTAGAGCTCTATGACATATTCCATTTCTTCTTAGGAAGGCTAAAAATACTAATAAGGCTATGGTTTCATAATACAAATAAGTCACTTAACAAAAAACAGACTGTTTAATGCAAATTATCCCAAGCAATTTTCTTCATACAATGTTTTTATTTATATCTGTTTTCAAAGTTAAATGAGCAGAGTCAAATGGTCAAATTCTAAATTAATCTTCTCATTAAGTTTAAGGACTTACGGATTTGAAATTCCAACTATAATAAATCTTGGTTTGTTGTCATGTTGTCTGAGGTTACTTTTGGAGAAACACTTTATGTGAGAGTCAGAATTGGTATACATTACCATTAATTCTTTCCTGCATAACAACAAATGTTTTAGGGTCATAGCTTAAATGTAGCTCTCTTTGTTCATGATAGATCAACTTGTCAAGGGTAGTATTCTCACAAAAGGACAGTAAAATACATGGAAAACTATGCCCTGACAGATAGCCATGAAGAACAACTATCAGATAATTTCCATTTATTACCAGCATGTATGTACATTCTAGTGTTTCTGACCTCCTATAACTACTCGAAAAAAGGAATAGAGCAGGGGTGTGGGTATGAATGTGTGTAGAGGGCTACAAGCCTTCCCACCTAACATCTCCAGTAGATGGCAGGAGACTATGGTTGGTGCTGGATAACTGCCTGCCCATAAGGTAACTCTGAGGCATTCACTCTGCCTCAAGCCTGTAGACCATTAATTAAGGAACTTATAACAAGATTAAACAATGCTGCTAGTCAAAGTTTATAAGCTGATTCCAACATAGTGAGAACTAGTCATGTGGGGGAGAGATAGACTTGGGTTAAGTAAAAAATACCATATTGAGACATTTTTCCAGAAGTAGTGATAGATTTATACCAACCCATCTACATTTTCTCATGTTGTTGTTCTTATAATCTGCAGCAGAAATGTTTAAGACATCTGGCTGAGGTCTGGAGTGCATGAACTACAGACAGGTTAACTAGCATCTATGGGAATTAAATTTCTGATACCATGGACTCCATTAGTAAGGCAAATAATTTATTTAAATTAACTTCCATCAAACACAAACAACCCACCCATTCTTTAAAAAACACTACTTGGCACTGTTGACATTTTAAGCTAGATAATTCATTTTTACGGGGCTCTGTTCTGAAAACTGATTTTCACGGCAACCCAGTTGTGGGTAACACTAGATGTCAGGAGCACTGACAGCTGTTTTTGGTGGGTTAAGACAACCAAAAACATCTCCAGACACTGGCAAATAATCTTTGGGAGATTGTCAGGTCCTTCTACACTGAGAACTACTAATCTAAACAAATGAAAAGTCAAACAAAAATCTGTTATAGTAATTTGATGGTTAGATATAAGAGCTTAAAAATAACAATTCACTCCAGTTAGAATGGCTATTACCAACAAGACAAAAATTAAAAAATGCTGGTGCGAATGCAGAAAAAAAGGAATTCTTATACACTGCTGGTGGGAATGTAAATTAGTATAGCCTTTATGGAAAACTATACGGTGGTTCCTCAAAAAACTAAAAATAGAACTACCATATGATTCAGCAATCCCAATACTGGATGTTTATCCAAAGGAAAGGAAATCAATATAACAAAGAGATATCTGCATTCCCATGTTTAATTCAGCACTATTCACAAGATATGAAATCAATCTAAGTGTCATCAACATGAATAAAGAAATGTGGTACACACACACACACACACACACACACAAAATTCAGCCATGAAAAGAATGAAATCCTATGATTCATGGCCACATGGATAAGCCTAAAGGACATTATGCTAAGTGAAATAAGTCAGAGACAGAAAGATAAATACCACATACTCTTATTCATATGTGGAAGCTAAAAAGGTTGAGCTCATAGAAGTAGAGAGTAGAATTGTGGTTTTTAGAAAATGAAAAGAATATGGAGGAGGGGAAGATAGGGAGAGGTTTGTTAACAGATACAAAGCTACAACTAGATAAGATGAGTAAGTTCTAGTGTTCTGTAGCATTGTATGGTGACTATAGTCAATAATTTTTAAAATATTTTCAAATAGCTAGAAGAGAGGATTTTGAATATTCCCAAAATAAACAAATGAGTGTTTGAGGTAAGAGATATGCTAATTACCTTGATTTGATCATTACATTGTATACATGAGCCAAAGTATCAGTCTGTACCCCTAAATATGTACAATTATTACACATCAAAAATTTAAAAAAGAATTTATTGCTCATTGTTAATTAACACAAAAGCTAAAATGAGTATTATTTAATGCTTATTATTGACATTTTTGTGCTGAATAGTATACAAAAGTATGGCTATTTAGTCTTGCTATGTTGCTCAGACTGGTCTTGAACTCCTGGCCTCAAGCCATCCTCCCGCGTTGGCCTCCCAAAGTGCTGGGATTAAAGGTATAAGCCACCACACCTGGCCTACAAATAATGTTGGCTGCTAATAATAAATATTAAATCATTAACCTGATTTGTTACAGAATATTTTCTATTCAACATTACTTAAATACTATTCAAGTATAAAATGATTTTGCAAAACTAACTTATCCCGTTAAAAAGGGCTGCAATGACCTGACAGAGTATGGAGGGGCTTCTGAGGGCAGGCCAAGTTCTGTTTGTTGGTGGGTGTTTATTACATGAGCATGTTGAGTGTGTAACGTTGTACTGAGCTGAATACTTATAATATAGGATTCTTTTCTGTGTATTTTGTACTTTTAACTATATATAGTAAAAAAAAGATTCTGTTATATTGTATAAGCCAGAAAGCCATTTTAAAACATGCATGACTTTCATGATATCATCAATCAAGCTTTTCCTATGAGTAAAATGATTTAAAATTTAAAAATGTTCACAACACTGGCATTTAACACTATTATTCCAATAGAGAACTTTCATGCAATTATTTTGTCAATACATATTGAACATCTACTATGTGTTAGATATTGTGTTTAATGTTAGAAATAATAGAGGTAATAATAGACTTAGTCCCTGCCATCAAAGTGCTTACTATTTATCAAACTTGGTTAATACAAACTTATAGAGAACAAATGGGGCAGTGTACAGCAAACACCTGAAATTTCACGATAAACGTAATCATATTTAACAAAGATCAATTTTATTCCAGGACAAATAATTTTTTTTTTTAATTTTTAATTTTTCAGATGGAGTTTCACTCTTGTTGCCCAGGCTGAATGGCATGATCTTGGCTCACTGCAACCTCCTCTTCCAGGGTTCAAGTGATTCTTCTGCCTCAGCCTCCCAAGTATCTGGGATTACAGGCATGTGACACCATGCCTAGCTAATTTTAATTTTGTATTTTTAGTAGAGACGGGGTCTCACCATATTGGTCAGGCTGGTCTTGAACTCCTGACCTCGAGTGATCCACCCGCCTCGGGCTCCCAAAGTGCTGGGGATTACAGGTGTGAGCCACCGCGTCTGGCCCAGGACAAATAATTTTAAATGTTCCGTTTGTTTTGTTTTGATTTTTGAGGCAGGATCTTGCTCTGTCACCCAGGCTGGAGTGCAGTGGCACAATCACAGCTCACTGTAGTCCCAACCTCCCAGGCTCAAGTGATTCTCCCA